GGGGTGGGAGGGAGGGGAGGGTAGGTGATGGGCATTGAGGAGGGCACCTTTTGGGATGAGCACTGGGTGTTGTATGGAAACCAATTTGACAATAAATTTCATATATTGAAAAAAAAATTATTGGTTGAAATAATTAATGATCAATAGAGGAAGTCTAGAGGGATGGCCTAAGGGAAATTTTCATTTGCTCCTTAAAAATCGCTAAGCTTTATCACTGCATTAAGCCAAATGTGCAAAAAGGTTCATATCTGAACCACAGCACTCTGACCCACTATGGAAATGTCTTCAGAGGACAGGTCTAACACTCAGGACCACACTTAACCTAACACCCTCAAGTTTTCGCTAAGGGACAATAAAATAATCACTAGAGTAAACAAAAAGAGAGAAGCAAAGATGAAAAAGACTTTCAAGGCAGATATGTCCAACCAAGTCAAATGCTGCATAGAGTGTCATAAAAATGCAAAAATGCCACTAATAAAAATTATGAAAGAATAATAATATCCATTTTTGGCAACAGTGTAGGCAAATAGGCATTTTCATACACTGTTACAAGAAACAGAAATTCAAACAATATTCTTAGAGTGTAATCTGACAAAACTTAACACAAATTTAAATACCAATTCTCCTTAATACTTCCACTTACGGGAATTGATACTGCTGAACTTGTACAAAGTACACAAACAATGAATAAGAATGTTTCCTGTAATACCATTAATATCAGACAAGAATGGTGAAAATATAAGTGTCAACTGGTAAGTTTTTTAAAAAAAGGAAATACAACAATACTAGTGAAATTCAAGAACTTATTTTACCCTTTATAATATACACTAGAAAAACATGCCAATTTACAGAGGGATAAAATACACTTTTTAAAAAGGACATTAGGACATTTATAGCCTAAAGATCAAGACAATTCTGATAGGATCTAAAGTGAAAAAGAAAAGCAAGATGATAAAAAAAATTAAAAAAAAAAAACAAACAACTCAAGTAACCCTTAACAGGCAGGCCACAGCGCCTATTCCCAACCGCATGCAAATTTACTCAATGATCCGTAATTCCAGAAAATCACTATACTCAGTGTACCATGCTACTGCTCTCATACTAACACGGTACCTTGCAGTTTCTCTTTGATTCTTAGCTGATACACGCTTCTGGGTTAATAACTAGAGATAAATGCAAGCTTGTACAACCAAGTTCAAACAGTGCAAAGTGAAAGCGATGCAGCTGGTATTTCCTAACTCCGCTAAGTGCACCGAAACTATCTCATGGAAGATGGAAGACAAAAGCTAGGACACAGGATATCATACAAACTAATTCTATATTTCAAAAACAATTACTTCAGTGCTGGCTAGTCAATTATTCTTGGCCAGTATTATTTTATTTTTATATAAAAAGTGAGATATCATGACATCTACCTTGTAGAGGTCATTTTAATCAATTACAGAATAAATACTGGCCTGCCAAGTACCAACAGTGACAGAGGTGGCTTGCACAGTTACCCATTCTGATTAAAAGAGGTCTCAAAATATCTCCGAAACAAAACCTTCACAGTAAAATGCAATTCTGTCAAACTTGTCAAAGAAAAAAAGTTTAAACAAATTTATACATCAAACACTTCCAATTTTAAGAAGAAAACATACCTGAAAGGAAGGCAAGCTTTTTCTTCAGAATAGGTAATATTACTGAGGCCTCCATTTTACTCCAGTAAACTTCCTCACTTCTGAAAACAAAGAAAGTTAAAGGTCAACTACAAGATCATAACTATTCTATGAAATACATACTTATGATGGCTTATCCCAGGGTGTCTCAATTTCAGCATTACTGATATTTTGAGTCAGATTATTCCTCCTTTTTTGTAAGAAATGTCCTGTACATTGTATTTGGCAGCATCCCTGGCCTCTTCCCATTAGAATACCAATAGTATCCTCCCTTCTAAGCTCGAACAACCAAAATGTCTCCAGACATTGCCAAATATACTCTGGTAGGTAAAAACACAGCCATTTGAGAATCACTGGCTTAACTGTTTTTTTCTTTTTTGTTTAAGTAGGTTCCACACCCAACGTGAGGCTAGAACTCAGGACCATCAGATCAAGAGGCACATGCTCTACCAACTGAGCCAGCCAGGCACCCCACTATCTTAACTGTTTTTCAGAGCAGTATTCTTGGGCTGCTATGTCTAACACATAGCAGTAACTGTATAAATTACTGTCGAATAGAGGAATGAACTACTCAATCTTTTCTCTATTGCTCTTATTATACAACTTCCAAATATCTGACTTCAGTTCCACTACTAAATGTCTGTGTCTGATTTCTCACATTTTTGCTTCTTCATATCACACTGTAACACACCTTATGGTCATGTTTACCTCAAGACACTTCCTAATACACTGTTTCAGTTTTTGCCCCCACTGTTACCTGTCTCTATCTCTCCACATTCTGAATTTTTTTAAATCTCCAGGAAAAAATCTGCTTAACCCAGTTGATTTTTCCTACCGAGGAATTGGTTTGGTTCCTACCACGTTTACTGTTCTTGGTTTAATTTTCTAGTGTCCACTTGGTCACAGTCAGGGGTTATGGCTAAACACAAAATGGGACTATCCATACAGCAAGGCCTAAGGACAAGACAGCTTCCCTTAAAAGGGAGCTTTAACATGGCAGACACCTGGAGGCTTAGCCAACCCAGTATATTGTTAAAACAGGATTCTGAGGTGAGGACCTTTAACACAAAACAAGAAGATTAAAGGTTCAATTATATTATCCACCTATACTTAATTGCATATCTAAGAGAGTATTCTCCATCACATTTTATCCTTCCTGCCCCACCCCTCCTCAAACCCACCATCACAATATTGTGGCAGTTACTTACAATACCCCATGAATTTGCATTTTATTTAGTTAAGCCATACTCTTGTTTGTAATAGCCTCCTCTTTCTTTTTAAATTGAGATAACTGACATATAGCAATGTAGTTTAGGTGTACAACATGATTCAATATTCATATTTATTGCAAAGTGATCAACACAGTCTAGTTAACATCTGTCACCATACAGTTGCAAAATTTTTTTTTTGTGAGGAGAATCTTTTTAAGGCCTAGTCTCCTGGAAATTTTCAAATATGCAATACAGTATTATAAACTATAGTCACCACAAAGCATACTTTTTGACTCCACATGAAAGTGTATTACTTATTTGGCAAATAACTGCAATAAACTTATCCCATTTCAGGTACTGTGCTATCAGCTAGAGCTAAAAACTCAAGTCACAGCCCTGCCGTGGGGGAAAAAATGTAGTCTTTAAGAAAAAAACCCTCAGATATTAACAAAAAAGAAAAAATGTAGCCTTAAAATTTGTCAAATAATAACTAAGCAAGATTAAAGAAGTGTATTATTTTACAGCTTTTGTGCATACAACTAAAACAATATCACCATTATTTGTACCTCTCTTCAAGGAAAAAATGCTGTCAAACTATATATATTCTTTACAAGTTATATTACTGAATATTTGTTTATAACCCGTTCATTTTTGTTCAGCATCAGCCCCGGCTGAATACAATTGGTAGGAAAAATGATGGAAAAACTCACACTATACATTTCAAATCTGAAACCGGTAGTACTTTATGTTTCCAGATCAGTATCTTAACCTGATCAATCAGTTCCCCAGCCCTACAAAAACCAGACAGCTCAGATTCACATCTATGGTCCCTTCTCTTGTGACCATTGTTTGAGAGACCAGATTTGAAAGCTCAATGATGTCGGGGTTCAGAATGAGTTGCCCCAAGATATGCCCCTTGCACAATTATGTTGAGCTAAAACAGAAGACACAGGAAAAAACTCTGACCTTCCCCCAGCTGCCTAAAATAACTTCGATAAAGGGCCTGCTCCAGGAAGAGAGCTATCACTATAGATAACCACATTCTAATATTAAGTCAAGGGAATAGACAGGGAAGAACTTAAACTTTATTTTTTAAGATTTTATTTTTAAGTAATCTCTACACCTAACATGGGGCTTAAACTCACAACCCCGAAATCAAGAGTTGCATGCTCCATCAAGTGAGCCAGCCAGGTACCTGAAGTTTAATCTTTGATCAAATTTTCATATATAGGGATGCCTGGGAGACTCAGTCGATTAAGCATCCAACTTTGGCTCAGGTCACGATCTCGCGGTCTGTGAGTTCGAGGCCTGCATTGGGCTCTGTGCTAACAGCTCAGGGCCTGGAGCCTGCTTTGGATTCTGTGTCTCCCTCTCTCTCTGTGCCTCCCCCGCTCACACTCTTTCTCAAAAGCAAATTAAAAAATTTTTGACATATATGTGTATAATATACATGTATATATATATATATACAATATACATTTAGTTTATATGTAGAACGTATACATGTGTATGTATATATGATATATATATGTATGTATCATATATACATACGTGCTACTATCTTGATTCATGCTAAGGCAACTTTTGCCCACCATTGCTTCTGCAATCATCAGTGCAAATGGCAAGTGATGTAAGAACTGTTATAAAAACAGTTTTGATCTCAGAGACTTGTGCAAGCTGGAAATAAGAGACCTGCTGCTCTAGGACGTCAATGGGATGCTCCCACAAAGGAATTTCAGCCCTGAAGGGGTAATACCGATACAAGTACAACTCAGTCATAGAAACAGAACTGGCTTCCTAATCAGACTTTTCTTTTGGCATGGATGCACAACCACCTGCCTTTGATTCCTTACTATTTTGAGCCTACATTACCATCCTTATCAATTCTGTGAGCTGTATAATATCCTTCCAATAAATCCCCTTTCTACTTAAGTTAGCTAGAGCAGCCTTCTCATCTAGTCAATGGAGAAACTCGATTGATACAGGAAGCAAAACTCCAATTTAGAGTTGTAGATGGTGTCTGCTTTTTTAAATCTGTTACCATTTATTCTGAATGAAAATGTCCATCAATACTAAGGTTTTCAGCCTTGCTACAATAAAACCCAATTAACCAGTACCCATGAGAAAACATCTGGAATTCCTAGGATCCCACAAGGCCTAAGAAATGACAGCTGCCGCTGACCCTTAAAGTAGCATCTGTGTTATCCAAGGTTTACAAGCCAAGTTATTGATTTTTACACTGATAAGTACCAAATTTTTCACCATTGTATTCTCCATATAAAGTGAAAAAGGAAGATGGTCTCAGTTCCCAGTCTAGATGTACTTTCACACACTATGATATCCAGAAGCAATCTTATTTTTTGTCACTGTCTCCTGAGATGAATGCTTTATTCAAACTTTCCATTACTTTACTGAACCACCCCAGCATGATGAAACACTAAATTGTTTTTGTTTTTTTTTAAGAACATGTTGAAACTGATGAAGTAGCTTAAAGTAAAGAGAAATACAGTTTTGGGGTATGTAGGTCAATTCAAATGACCTGGTGGATAAAATGTGAAGCAGTCAATGGGGCGCCTGGGTGGCGCAGTCGGTTAAGCGTCCGACTTCAGCCAGGTCACGATCTCACGGTCCGTGAGTTCGAGCCCCGCGTCAGGCTCTGGGCTGATGGCTCGGAGCCTGGAGCCTGTTTCCGATTCTGTGTCTCCCTCTCTCTCTGCCCCTCCCCCGTGCATGCTCTGTCTCTCTCTGTCCCAAAAATAAAATAAACGTTGAAAAAAAAAAAAATTAAAAAAAAAAAATGTGAAGCAGTCAAGAAATGAAAGCTGTGATGTTTACCTTTCTAGAGTCTCCTTTCCATCAATCTTTCACTGCTGTCACAAGAGAAGAGTAATGAAAAATGATTACTGTACTACTAGCTCCAATTAAAAATAGTTTTTCAAAAGTTATTTTAAAAATGTTTTTAATATTTATTTATTTTTGAGAGAGAGGGAGAGAGAGCTGGGGAGGGGCAGAGAGGGATACAGATTCTGAAACAGGCTCCATGCTCTGAGCTGTCAGGCTTGAACCCATGAACCATGAGATCAGGTCCTGAGCCAAAATTGGACGCTTAACTAACTGAGCCACCCAGAAGCCCCTCAAAAGTTATTTTAGATTTTGCTAGTCATTAGCACAGACATAAATAACAAAAACAAATCTGCCTATCTCTGGTTATCTTATATATCTCACAGATAGTTAAAACAATGAACAAAACACAAAAAAAATAAAGGAAAATCTTCAAAATACAACCATCCACTACCATCACCACAATAAAATGTAAAATGACACAAAGTCATGGCTGTTCTCTAATGGTATAGTTATAGATCAGTATTTTTCATAAGATGCTTATTCAACCAAAATATATCTGAGTGGATTATATTCTCAAACAAGGAATGAAACCAATGATGAATATTAACCTGACCTTAATTAATTAATAAAGCAAGGGAAAAAAACGTTCTTAAAAACTTGCTAAATGAAGTTAAGAAATGGAAGAATTAAACAATTCAAAACATGCTTAATGAAAATGTCATATATCGCATACGGTCATTTAAAATGACCTATTTTGGGGGCGCCTGGGTGGCTCAGTTAAGCGTCAACTTCAGCTCAGGTTGTGATCTCGCAGTTCGTGGGTTCGAGCCCATGTTGGGCTCTGTGCTCTGAGCACAGAGCCTGCTTCGGATCCTCTATCTCCCTCTCTGCCCCTCACATGCTCTCTCTCAAAAATAAATAAACATTAAAAAAAATGACCTATTTTGTTACAATTTATTAAATATGAAAGAAGCAGAAAGTC